ATTCGAGTTTTGTAATAATTAATTAGCTTAATTAGCATAGCTAGTTGGTTAGCTTATTTATTCAGACCCTCCTTCGCGAGGGCGTAATATTGTAATAAGTGTGCGTCCATGCATGTATGCCTTCCAACCCTACGTCTTTCTCCCTTTTACTTAACCGCTTTTGATGGTTTGATTAGGAGCATCATGTTTCAAATTAGCATACCTTATGCCTTATGCTTGTATCCATTCATTCGTATTGCATGCACCAAGGCTCGGCGCATCATTCAAACTGCATTGTAATTTTCAAAAAAAATTTGAACACATGTTTAATTGCATGTTGTTCAAATTGCTCCATATGCCACATTAGTAGCCGAGCCTATTAATCGCATATTGCATGTGTTGCATTAGGCATTTTGTATGGTTAGGAATCATGCATATTTTTTTTACTTGTATTGTCCTAGCTTGGAGTACTAGGTGAGTTTTTCCACTTTAGCATACTCGCATGAATGTGAATTTTGTCATGTTTAGCATGCTTACCATGAGGCTATGTGCTTAAATGATAAACTGCATAAATGCCTGTGGATGAAGGCTTGTTGTTTGAATTGGAACAATTCAATAAAATGTGTGTTTTAAGCCTACTTTGTTGAGTGGCAAATCATGTTTTAAGCCCACTATGTTTGGTGGCAAATCCGCAAACTTTAAGCCCACTTGAGGTGGCAAATTCAAACCATTTTCGCAAACAAATATGAGTTGAATTGTTCCAAGTCTTGCAAACTAGTCTATACTTGATTGTGCGCATCACATAGTAAAGCTAGCTTAATAACCGGAATAAGAACGCATAATGTTTTTAAAAAATCATATCATGATTAGTAGAGGCGATCTTTGATCGAGCGAGTGAGGGTGCTCAATTCATGACCTTCCCCTCTCGTACCTAAGTTCCCAAGCCGAGACAACTTTGGTGATGAAGGACACATGGCCTTTGGCACGAGTCATGAATTTCCTAAATTTTCCCAAAAACAAAATATTTAGGTGGTGGCTCTGTATTTGGCAAAGCAGTCCAATTTTGGCTTTATTTGATTTAAAATCGATTTTTCAAAAAGATTTGTCAGATTTAGACTCTTTGGTGTTTATCAGTTTCACATTGCACTTGTGATATTAGATTCAGAATTATGGGAGTCCGAACTGTAGGTCTTTCTTTCAAACCTTCCGAAAAGGGGCGCGAATAAGGCGAGCCACAGATACTACGATTATGTTTCGCCTTACCAAATCGCATATCATTCACATTTATCATATCGTTATTAACGCATTGCCATTTTTAGTTTCCCTAATGTTAGTTACTTCTGTAGTACTTTACTTTTTCTTGATGTTATTTGCTTCCCAAAGACTTTACGTTTTATAAGTATTGTCGACATGACACAACACATTATATCTACTTAAATAAAAATTTAGACCGCGCCGTCGGCAATATGAGTTCGCATTTTTTATTAACATTTATGTCATATTTCATATTATGTGAGGGCCATTACATTTTTGCTTTTTAATTAACAGTTCTACCCGCGATACATTTTGTGAGACATGGTTTAATTTCGTGTCATGGGTGTGTTTATTTTACTTTCCCATTCCATTGTCAGTCAACTAAGCTGCTTACTTCCTACGTTTCCATTCCACCAAATATTACTCGTGTAATCACCATACAAACATTGTTCAGTTGCGGACATCGAAATAGCACAATATTTTTGCGCACAAATCTCACCAATTACAATGAACCACAAATGGGGCACGAGACCACTATGTTACCAAATTAAAAATTAAAAAAAAAGAAAAGAAAAGAAATGCGTCCGGACATAAGTTATGTACTGCGTATATGATGTAAAAAAAAAAAATACAATCAATGATAACAACACAGCACGATGCATAAGACCATGTAAATGGATTATAACCTATTCTCGTTGTCAACACACCTACCAACATTGTCAACAAACAACAATATCAACCAACAACATAAGCATATTGGGACAAAATAATGTCCCAACCAAATGTGGGATTTCAAACACACAGAACTCTAACAAGCAACCCAACCACACGTTAAGGAAGATCAATATATATGGATCAAAATAATTATAACCAAAATTCGACGATCACCAAATCCAAAATGTCGTTCCAATTACCCAAAAACAAACAAATTAGCAGTTTTGCAAATCCTACGAACCACAAATGGGCCACGAGACCACGATGTTACCAAATCAAAAATTAAAAAAAAAAAAAAAGAAAAGAAATCCGTCTGAGCATAAGTTATGTCTTGCGTATATGATGCATAAAACAAAATAAAAATCGAACAAAAGAAATGATCAATTTTTAACGGTGCGGTAGATGCATTCACGAAAGAGCCACCAACTGTTACTGGCAGGGACAAGGGTAATGTCCTTTCTTTTCCGAAGTGGGAAATGACATTCAACAAAAAAAAAAGTTCACAACCACTATAATCACGTACCGTCACTTTCAATGTCACACAATCTACACAGGAACACCAAATGAACGTCAACACGATACCAACTGACCATCACGACCATCAACACACTACCAACCGACCCCCATCAATTGCACATTCAACCTCACTCGCATTGCGATGTAACACAACATATAAAGTAAATGTACCTGCGAAACCAAATACAATCCACTATCACTATCAAGAAACACAACCCTCCAACCATCATACCGATAAACATTACACCTCACCCACCGCCTCGCAAAATGACACTATCATATTGAAAACGTACATAATATAATTTTATTGCATATGATTTGCATGATTGTAACTACAGACACATCGTCAACAATGTTAAACATACATCCCGAAAACCGAAACACACATTTTCCTATTACAAATGAGTTGGAAACCAACTCACATGGCCATCCCCCAAACAATGCTCATACATCGCACACTACGTCGACACGCCCATTTATGACACAGACATACGTAATCATGTACCCAATTCTCTAACACCAATGTACATACATATGTAACCCTGTACCCTGAACATAACATTACCCACACTACAAGGACTCAAAATTAACATAACATTAGTCACACTACAACACGAATCAAAATTGGAAAAAACACCAATAACCAGATCATATATTCCTCCACCCACAAAATGACAACTATTCTTTCATTTTCAAAATTATATTCCTTTCAGTGTGCACACTCTGTCTACATCAAACAACATTACACATCAAACTACCCAAACATCACTCTATACTGAAAATCACAGTAACAACACACCAACGTGAGAAACCATTACGCACCAAAACAACAGTCATCATAGGCGCACCAAAAAATGATAGCACACAACATTACAATCTGAAAAATCAAACAACATAACAAAATAAATACCTGATTGATTTTTGATCATGTTATGATGTCCCACCACTACACACTTTGACGCAATGTTTTCGCACCAAAACAGGGTGCAAATGCCGTTTACCAAGCACCATTCGATTCGCCCTTTACACTTCACAAATCGTATACATAGCTACCAAATCGATGACTGAACTAATGTTTTAGGGTTTCCTATATCTAGGGTTTCCACCATTCATTTTCAGGGATGTAAACGTTACACTCAAACTGTAATTACGAAAAATACGATGCTCACAGACTGAACGTTGATCCCCAAAATCTTTCCATTTCCCTAGCTTCAACACCAACCAGAAAGGAAATGAATATTACACAGTTTCGTAATTCCGCCCCCTGTAAAATACCATTGTTGTCCATTACTTTGTAACATAGGACCACATTACGAAAGCCCTTATTGGTAATATTGTATATAACAGGACATTCTCATCTACAAGAAATCTTTTAGGACCAGACAGTGCATGAGTCCACAATCTAGGATTTATTGGTGCATCACCCAAAATTTTATTTAAAAATAATAATAATAACAATAAAAGTTATTAATACACAAATCCTAATTTATGAACTTTTACTCTATTAATTCTTAACTAAGATTTTTTAGACTTTTAAGCTCCATTAAATTTTTAACAATTGGAATTGCCTTTCAAATAATGATTATTCATCATTTATGATTATGTATAAGGAAACATGATGATTTGACATTTATTTTGATTTTCAAAATTTTAAAGTATCAACTTTCAAATTGAAAAAAAAAATTATGTGCCAAAAAAAAAAAACTAATGTTTGAAAAAATTGAATTGCTTTTTTGTACAAGATCGAAAATTTTGTGTCTATAAAGAAGTATGATGATGGAATATTGATGTGTAAAATTGAAAAAAAAAATGAAAAAACTGAGAATATTCTCAGTTTTAAAACTAAAAAAAAAATGATAAGTAGAAAGACAAAAACGTTTAATCTCATTTTTTTCTTTTTTTCATTAGTTAGTGAAACAATTATCTGAAATATTACTCTTTAAAAATTGATAATATTCTTAGTTTTAAAATTTGAGAAAAACTGATAATATTATTAATTTCACTAAATAAGACTTAGGCCAAGTTTGGGAACACCCCAAAAAGCCAAAAAGTCAAAAAGTTACTCAAAAAGTTAAAAAGTTATCACTATTCACCAAAAGTCAACAATTACGGCTGCACAACTCCCAATTCTAATTTTCTCCTACAAATCAATTTTTACAATTTTTTATTACACATTTTTCCATAAAAAGTCAAAAAGTTAACCAAAACATTCATATTTTTAACCTCAACTTTTCAGTCTAAAAAGACAAAAAGTGCACTTATTTAGTCTTCCCAAACTTTGCCTTAATTTAAAAAAATTTAGATAGAATCTGAAATACATAAATATTTGTAAATAAGACTGTTACATAATTAACTCAAAAAAAAAAAAAACAAAAAAAAACAAAAAAAAAACAAAACAAAACAAAAAACAACCACCACAATATATAAGATTCCCAAACAACGTATATAACGATCTTTTGGATTTTCGAGAATTGAAAGGAACTACGTGGTCCTATTGTCTCCTCTGAAAGCAAGTGTCTGTATCTACAGTTGTATGTAGACAATAGGGTTCTAATTCTGAATCATTCAATTGAATTCAATGGTGTGTATATAGAAAATTATATAATTTTTATGTATCGTCTCAATCGCAGCAAAGAATTTGCATACAACAGCGTTGACTCAGCTCTTGTCAGTCTGAGCTTCCGAGTCACTCAGTTTCAGGGTTCATGCAACATCCTCTGCTTCAGCCAGGTCAAATTCAATTTACAAATATTAAATCATCTTCATATGTGTTCTATGGGTTTGTATTAAATTCTGACCTCATTCTAGTTATGGGTTTGATCTCTTTTATATGTACATGTGTGTGAGTGCTATCTTCTAATTTTGATACGTGGGTTTTTCTTGATACATGAAAATTTGAAATTTTTTTATGTTGTGTTTTTGTTTTTAGGTACAAACCCATGGAGGTTTTTTGGGGTTGTTACACATTTATAATTTTTTTTTTCAACTAAACCCAAAATAATGTTTAGATCTGAACTTCGAAACTTGAAGCTGTTGGATTTGGGGAAACTTGGTGCTAAAAAGACAAATAGGGGTGTTTGGAAGTGTTAAGGCTTGATGTAATGAGGACTATCTACCCAAAGGAAACCTGAAATGGATAGTGTAACAGAGAGTAAATATAGGAAATGGATTTTCTATATTTATTTTCTGGATATACGCGGCTTTGTGCGATCGATTTGCGTTTTCCTAGGTTTTTTTTTTTTTTTTTAACTACGTTTTCCTAGGTTGTTGAACAACTAATTCTAGTGATTTGGGAATAAAAAAAATGATTGCTTAAGACCCTTAACACATTACCTCCTAAATTTACCCCTAATGACGTGAACTGTTGGAAGTAAGTTGTTGATTAGTTTAGGAATCAACGAAGACTCAACCCCTGTTAGTGTGGATAAATTTAGGGTTAATGTTTTAGGGTTTTCTGGCATTACCATTTAGAATAATAATACCACTTGCAATTTGTAACAGTGTGGATTTTGAAGAATGTGGTGAAAGTTGGACACCATCAGCTACTGAAACTTTAATGAAATTAAAATGATGCTGTTTAAACTTCTTGTGCATATTGTTTTTGTAGAGGAGTGTCATATTTTATTAATTTTTAATTTAACCGAGCATACAACCCTTGACTGAGCGAAATTGTCACGACCCCAAACTGCCCCTACTAGTTTGGTGCCGTGATGGCCAGTAATCCGGGATTACCGAAGGCCAACCTCCAAAATCTACACACAATCAGAGTATAAATATATATATGGGGCTCACAAATGCGGAAACATTAATTTAAAAATACAAGTGGTCCGTAAGAGCAGTGCGTAAGTTATATGGAATGGCATACAACTTTACATAGTATTACAACTTGAATACAAATACAATGAAATACAAAATACATTTTTCATCTTGATCAAAAGGCTTCTCCAGCCGACATGTGTAAATTGCAGACATTATAAGCCGAGAAGCATAGTTTTCAAGACTGCCGACATGTATACAAGTTAAGCCGACATGACAAAAACCCAAAACAAGCTTGCGAGTCACACTTAGGCGTCACCGTCTTTCTGCTCATCACCTACATATATATATAGAGAGGGCAAGCTTGCATACTCAGTGAATGGTATAAGAAATAAAGGGGTTTGTATGACTGGTATTCAAAATCTTTATCAAACAATACATAACATAATTAGTGCAAGTCAAAGGATGAACCAAGTCCATCTAGCAAATCTGTCAAGTTTCAAAGGATGCTTACTAACATCATTATAATAAAAGTGATGACATCTCGGCAAACAAAACCCACGCGGTAAATCGTCAGTGGCAAACAAGACAAGACAAGGCAAGACAAGGCAGATATCTCAATTCGATGGTGTCGTTGCATTATAGTCCCCGGACACTAAGGACTTGTGCTATTAATGCTTAGAGTCCCCTAGCACGTACGGACTTCCAAACTTTGTGCTACCAATGCTTATAGTCCCTTAGCACGTACGGACTTCCAAACTTTGTGCTACAAATGCTTATAGTCCCTTAGCACGTACGGACTTCCAAACTTTGTGCTACAAATGCTTATAGTCCCTTAGCACGTACGGACTTCCAAACTTTGTGCTACAAATGCTTATAGTCCCTTAGCACGTACGGACTTCCAAACTTTGTGCTACAAATGCTTATAGTCCCTTAGCACGTACGGACTTCCAAACTTTGTGCTACAAATGCTTATAGTCCCTTAGCACGTACGGACTTCCAAACTTTGTGCTACAAATGCTTATAGTCCCTTAGCACGTACGGACTTCCAAACTTTGTGCTACAAATGCTTATAGTCCCTTAGCACGTACGGACTTCCAAACTTTGTGCTACAAATGCTTATAGTCCCTTAGCACGTACGGACTTCCAAACTTTGTGCTACAAATGCTTATAGTCCCTTAGCACGTACGGACTTCCAAACTTTGTGCTACAAATGCTTATAGTCCCTTAGCACGTACGGACTTCCAAACTTTGTGCTACAAATGCTTATAGTCCCTTAGCACGTACGGACTTCCAAACTTTGTGCTACAAATGCTTATAGTCCCTTAGCACGTACGGACTTCCAAACTTTGTGCTACAAATGCTTATAGTCCCTTAGCACGTACGGACTTCCAAACTTTGTGCTACAAATGCTTATAGTCCCTTAGCACGTACGGACTTCCAAACTTTGTGCTACAAATGCTTATAGTCCCTTAGCACGTACGGACTTCCAAACTTTGTGCTACAAATGCTTATAGTCCCTTAGCACGTACGGACTTCCAAACTTTGTGCTACAAATGCTTATAGTCCCTTAGCACGTACGGACTTCCAAACTTTGTGCTACAAATGCTTATAGTCCCTTAGCACGTACGGACTTCCAAACTTTGTGCTACAAATGCTTATAGTCCCTTAGCACGTACGGACTTCCAAACTTTGTGCTACAAATGCTTATAGTCCCTTAGCACGTACGGACTTCCAAACTTTGTGCTACAAATGCTTATAGTCCCTTAGCACGTACGGACTTCCAAACTTTGTGCTACAAATGCTTATAGTCCCTTAGCACGTACGGACTTCCAAACTTTGTGCTACAAATGCTTATAGTCCCTTAGCACGTACGGACTTCCAAACTTTGTGCTACAAATGCTTATAGTCCCTTAGCACGTACGGACTTCCAAACTTTGTGCTACAAATGCTTATAGTCCCTTAGCACGTACGGACTTCCAAACTTTGTGCTACAAATGCTTATAGTCCCTTAGCACGTACGGACTTCCAAACTTTGTGCTACAAATGCTTATAGTCCCTTAGCACGTACGGACTTCCAAACTTTGTGCTACAAATGCTTATAGTCCCTTAGCACGTACGGACTTCCAAACTTTGTGCTACAAATGCTTATAGTCCCTTAGCACGTACGGACTTCCAAACTTTGTGCTACAAATGCTTATAGTCCCTTAGCACGTACGGACTTCCAAACTTTGTGCTACAAATGCTTATAGTCCCTTAGCACGTACGGACTTCCAAACTTTGTGCTACAAATGCTTATAGTCCCTTAGCACGTACGGACTTCCAAACTTTGTGCTACAAATGCTTATAGTCCCTTAGCACGTACGGACTTCCAAACTTTGTGCTACAAATGCTTATAGTCCCTTAGCACGTACGGACTTCCAAACTTTGTGCTACAAATGCTTATAGTCCCTTAGCACGTACGGACTTCCAAACTTTGTGCTACAAATGCTTATAGTCCCTTAGCACGTACGACTTCGGTCCAACATATCGGCGATCTGCACTTTCTTCCATACAAGGCTTCTTACAGCGCCATACCAATGCTAGCTTGGTAGCTGTTGTTGTAAGCGAACTCTACTAATGGCAAATGCACTTCCCAGCTTCCCTTGAAGTCCAATACGCACAGTCTAAGCATATCTTCAAGTGTTTGAATTGTTCTCTCTGTTTGGCCATCGGTCTGGGGATGAAAAGCTGTACTAAACCTCAACTCGGTTCCCCAAGCCCTTTGTAAGCTCTGCCAAAATCTAGAAACAAATTTTGGATCTCGGTCTGACACGATGGACATCGGCACACCATGAAGTGTAACGATCTCATTCATATACAACACAGCTAGTCGTTCAGCACTGAACAAGGTCCTAACCGGCAAGAAATGCGCTGACTTAGTTAACCTGTCGATTATAACCCAAATTGAATCCATTCCTTTCTGTGTCTTCGGCAAACCAACTACAAAATCCATGGAGATGTCTTCCCATTTCCACTCAGGAATCGGCAAAGGTTGGAGAAGTCCTGCCGGTCTCTGATGTTACGCTTTCACTTGTTGACAATACAAACACTGAGACACGAACTCGGCTATCTCTCTTTTCATATTCGGGCACCAAAAGGTCTGTTTTACATCTTGATACATCTTGGTGTTCCCTGGATGAACTGCAAATCTGGATCCATGAGAGTCTTGCAAAATCCTTCTTTTCAATTCTGGGACGTCGGCCACGCACAACCTTCCTTCAAACTTAAGCACTCCATTCTCAAGGGTGTAACCCAACC